TTTTTGGTGGAAATAACAAATGGGCTTTACCCTTACGCTACCGTTTGATATGATTGATTAGCCATGATATAGTTGACTATAATCAAGCAATTTGTTCGAATAGATCAAACCAAAAAAGACTTGATATGGTATGCACCATAAAGAGTGCTTCTTATGTTACAAATAGAATGACAAATGCACCCTTCTATTTGGTATCGTTAATAGTTATGCACGGACATAGTTGTGATACATGATTATTATGCATTATAGTCTCTGTTCAAGTGATGGATTGCATCCTTATCAGATTCATCGACTTAAGTTGAAATTGTTTTCATCTGGTATAGCCATGTATCTCGTTAACAATTTCTTTTTTTTTGTGAAGGGTAATCGCTTTGCAATGCCTCTTTCAAGAATTGCATTGCAGTCCCCGGCTGGAGCTGCTCGTGGCCAGGTCTCTCTCTCTCTCTCTCTCTCTCTCTCTCTCTCTCTCTCTCTCTCTCTCACACACACACACACACACACACACACACACACACACACACACACACACACACACACACACACACACACAAGTTTACACTCGTCTTGTGAACCTATTTTGGCAGGCTGATGACATTCAAAACGAGGCGGATGAGCTGCTGAGGATAAGGGACTATCTATTCAAGGAATTGGCTGAGAAAACTGGCCAGCCCGTTGACAAGGTAATTAATTGCTTATTACGTAATCTTGAATTCATTTCTATGATTGTTCTCTTTGTTGTTTTGAAATTTTACGATGTCGATTATGCAGATACATAAAGACCTAGGTAGGGTGAAGCGTTTCAATGCTCAAGAAGCACTCGAATACGGTCTCATTGATCGTATCGTTAGGCCGCACCGTATAAAGGCCGATGCACCAAGAAAGGATTCCACTGCAGGTCTTGGTTAATTATTCATTCCAATTATTGTAATCAAATATGCCATTGGCTGTTATATAGTTTTACAAATAGCAATTTGTTCTGTAGTTGATTGCCGATTTCTATTTTTAGCCTTCTTTTTATCTTTCGATGCGTACTTTTGATGGAAAGCTTGAAGCTGGTTTCTTGTACTCTTTAATATATCGAAAGTTTCGATTTTACGGAGATATTCGCTAGCTAACAGTACATGCCAATTGCTTCAATCAAATCTTAGACGGTTAGACCCCTGTCTAGTGTATTAGATTGATGGCTCGTTCGGTTATTGCTATAAGGTTCTACTGATTGAATAGTAGGGGCTAGTAACGTGTTCGATTGGTTTTTAATTCAAAACGCATACTTTTAATGAATGCGTCGCTAGCCCCTAAAGATGTCCACGCATACATTCAGATTTTCTCGCATATGCTCTACTCAAGGCAGTCAAATACAACCCCGTTCACATCGACACCTAAATATGAAAATCAAAAGATTATCCGAACGAAATTTTTGAATCCCGTTGATTTAGGTATTAATATTTTTTATTTTGGAACAATATTTTTCATTCCTAATTTTTTTTTAAATTACACTCATAATAAAAACATTATTATGTATATTATATTATAGGTGATGACAATTTCAATTCTGAATTAAGATTCAATTCGATTTTTTGGAATTTCGATTTTCGATACTTTTTGGAATGAAATTTAAAATTTATCTTTTCACTTCTGAAAAGTAATTAATTTTTTTTTTTAAAATTTGCTAATTCTAATATAATATGTCTCAATTGTCTACACAATAATAATAAATAAAGTCAATATAGAAATTTATTCAATGTAAAATACAGTAACTAATAATAATAAAAAAGAAAGAAAGTTAAATATGATGTATAAATATGATTCGATTTGATTTATTGCCAGAACCCCTGAAGAAAAATTCTCCGATTCAAACCCTAGGGTTTGGGATTTCGCATCGAAATTTTTGCAAGGGCTAATCATGTACAACGGGACGGGGTTACAGACACCTCGTGGTTCCGGCACCACCGGCCACGTGCAGTCCAACAGATTCTCCGTGAGGCCGCCGGCGAACAATTCCGGCGCCGACCCGACTAAGGGCTTAGTAACCGCCGGAAAACCCAATAAGGAGATTTTGGAGCACGATCGCAAACGTCAGATTCAACTCAAGCTTCTTGTGCTGGAGGAGAAACTGATCGATCAGGGATATTCCGATGCCGAGATCGCGGCCAAGCTCGACGAGGCGAAGGAACACGAAGACTCTGCGAGTAATGCACTTCTTATTTCTGGAAAGTACGTATTCGTTCGATTTCCCCCTTTTTTCGGTTTTTAACCCTAAAAAATGTGTTTGGATTCTTGCAAGAGATAAAGTTGAATGTGCAATATCACTTTGAATTGGTTAACATTGTATAGTTTTTCAAGTGTCAGTGCTAATTGATTTGGATCGTCTCGATTTTTATTTCTGCGTCTTGCTACTTTGCGATTGAAAAGAATGGAATAGAGTGTTTACGATAGTGTGTTCAGATCAAGATTAAATTCTGTTCTGTGGGGCCGGGAATTGAGAAATGCCATGAATAAGGTTGTCCGTGAATAGATAGCCGAGTTCAAAGAAGACCTTGGATAAAACAATAATTAAGAAATAGATTCGTAGGGCTTTTGGAACATTCAATATTTTTTTTTTCAATTTTCTCAAGATTTGATTGGAATGTACTTGAATGACATATGTATAATTTCTTGATGATGCAATCGTAAATTGATGAAAGTTGATTTATGCGAAGGGCGGATGGTGGTTGTAAACAATTGAGACTATAATATATATATGTGATGTATTGTTGAGTTATGTGGTGCTGAATATGTCTCTGTGTACATGACCAGGTTTTCGGCCCACGAGAAAGCTGCGTTGAAGGAAAGGCAGATGGAAACACTAAAATCTGCTCTTGGAATCGACGAGCCCTCAGATACGTGTTTATGATCTTTCCTTTTACTATCGAGCAGCAGATTTAGACAAGTGAATCTTCATATTCTGTTCAAGAAAGTTTATAAATTTTGACATAGATCAAGAAGTATCAACCAAAATTCTCCGTGTAGTTAGTTTTTTTTTTGGTGATCAGCAAATTTTGCTTGTAAATTAATACAGTCGAGACTAGGGAAATTCTATTAATTTAGCGAATTGTTAAATTATCGAGTTAATAATTAAACACGTTTTCACTGAGTCGGGACCGAGAGAAACTATTATTTAATCGAGGTCATTAGTTTATCGAGGTTCTACTGTAGTAGTTTGTGTTAGACAAACTAGTTAGGATCATCCAACAAGTATTTGATGCATACCGAAACCTGAATCTTAGCCCACTTTTTTAATTTATAGTTTTAAGGAGTTTTAACTATCATTAAAAATTCAATTTATTTTGTGTCTATATCAATTTATCAGTGTTCATCTTATGTATTTTACTTGAGTGTGAAAATCAGATTAATTAGTAAATAATTTTGAATTTTGTTTCATTAAAGATCAATTTCTTACTCTAAATATTTTTGGGAAGCTTTGAAAATTCATGAGATCTCGAAAACTAATTTTATACGAACGGCTTCTAACAACTTCCTCACGGAACTGTTTTGCTTTTGCATCATCATAACAAACGACTACCTTGCCACTTGCGTGATGGGGAACAATTATCATCGAAATAAGTATTTTTCGAAAAAAAATTTCTTTCCGAAAATTGAAAATTAATTATATTTACATTAGAAAAAAAAAATCGGATTGAAGACGGTAAGAATCGAATAATTCTAATTTTTTTCATTCATCTGTAACATAAATAATTCCGATCCGATAAAAAACAATTTGAATTCCGATCCAAAGTGAAAAATAATTCGAATTGCCAAAAAAAATTTTGAAAACTAAAGTCTGATTTTTTACATATATTTCAATTGCGATCCAAAATTAACAATTCGAGATAAAAAAAAATAACACAAAAAAAAAATACAAGTCTTGTATATATTTTATAACTCCGATCCAAAACCATTTGAGCCAGATTGAAAATAGGAAACTTTTGAAAATTGAAACAAAAACATATTGCTCTAGAATCGAAATCGACAGAAGTTCAGAAATTTCGTTCCAATTTTCAATCATATCCGATTTTAGTATCGTGCTTATTCATGATTCCTTGCTGGATTTCCATTTTCTCATATTTGTGATAGAAACAATTAAATTGGAATCCTACACAACAATCTTTTTCCATAAAAGTGGGTTCTATTATTTAAATATCATGAGTGCAAATCATCAATCTCTTAATTATTAAAACGAAATATTATCTATAATTCTTGCACTCAAATAATATTATCTTGATGTGGACATAAACTATACACCACTAAGAAAAATTAAGATTGTTTTAACATCCTATCATACTTCTTGTGCACAATTTCAAATACTTCAATTTGGTGCCTCTTTGATTTAGGTAAAGAAAACATTTAAAAATAAAATAAAAATTGTAACATTAATATCAATCAATGTGAAATAGAGAAGTATGAAACTAACTATATGCATAAAAAAAATACAATTCAAACAAAAATCAAGAACTTATCTCATAATACAATCATTAATGGATTGAACTTGTTGTGATCTTTTTCACTAACAACTTCTTCTTCCTCTTCCTTAGAAGAAGAGTTGGTGAATAATTTAGCCTTGTGAGATTCATCACTCCAATTAATCCTCAAAACAAACACCAAAACAATCACCAAACAAACCACAACTCCACCCAAAAACCCTAACAACAAACCCTCAATCCCCATACCTAATTTGAACCCCAAAACCACACCCAAAGGCAAAGCCAACAAATAGAACCCAATCATGTTAGCATACATCCCGACCCACGGCCTCGCCGTCCCCCTCACTATGCCGCCG